CATCCTTGTGAATCCCGGTGTAACTGGTTCCTCCTCTCCCACTACTGGGCATGAAACACATCCATATTCTCCAAAGAATCCTCACCCCAGCCACCTCAGAGTCAGTTCCTTTCTTCAGCTCGGTTCAGAGACCCAAAGTACAATAACTGTCTAAGCAGAATAAGTACCCAGAAGGGTCCCTGCTGCAATCATACAGTGGCTAGGTGGCTACTTCAGGGCAGACAGACTTAGCTGGTGTCCACCTCCCAGGGATCAGGACACCTAATATTCCAAAGCAAGGCCACGAAGGGCTGGGAGCAGCAGGTGGAAACTGATCCAACCCTTGGGAACACAGGTTCTTCCAAAGGCTCTACTCACCTATCCAAATGCATCCACAGTAGTAGTCTGCCTTGTACTACAAAAGCCAACTGGGACTGGAGTTCTCAAGCTTTTGAAGTCTGTGGCACTTTCTTAATTTTACTGTTATGAGAGTATGTGCCTGCATGTACCTCTATGTGTGTGTGGAGGCCAGCTCTCTGGGGTCTATTCTCTCCTTCTGCTTTTACATGGGCTCTGAGGGTCTGACTCTGGTTTTCAGGTTTGGTGTAGATCCTTCTTGGACACTTTTGAGAATGTGATGACGACTCTAGAGGAACGTCTCTCTCTCTCTCTCTCCCTCTCTCTCTCTACACACACACATACACACACACACAATAATAATAATAATAATAATAATAATAATAATAATAAATAATAAATAATCTTTTAGTCTTTCCAGTACCTTTCCCAACCTTCAGGTGTGGCCCTGGTCATGCATCCTTTGTGCTATCCCAGTCTGGTCAGCTTACCTGACATTAACCTGCCTTCATCACCCGCAGGCCTTAAGTAGGGTTCTCATTCTGATCTCTGGGACAGTCTGGTGAGTTCCTCAAATCCAAGACTTTCTGTACCCTCCTCTGTCCCACGGCCCATTCCAGGCCACACATCCTGTACATCACTCTGGTCTGGTGGGTCTCACCTGCACTGTTCCAAAAACCTAGGTCTTGCTTCAGTTCTGCCCTAGCCTGGAGGAAACAACCAACCAAGTGAAAGGGAAGCCCATGGGATAGTAGAGAATCTTTGCCAGCTATATATCTGGTAGATTAATATCCAGACTATATGAAGAATTAAGAAAAAATGATGCAGTTTTCTTAAAATGGGTTATGGATCTAAACAAATTATTCTCAAAAGAAAAAAATTAAGTAGCTAAGAAATATCTCAAAAAATATTCAAACCAGTCAGTGGTGACTCATGCCTCTAATCCCAGCACTCAAGAGGTAGAAGCAGACAGATCTCTGTGAGTTTGAGGTCAGTCTGGTCTACAGAGCTAGTTCTAGGACAGCCAAGGCTATACAATGATACCCTGTGTTGAAAAATTTTTTAAAAAGGTGTTCAATACTGTTAGCAATTAGGGAAATGTAAATTTAAACAACTTTGAGATTTCCTCTTACCCTAGACAGAATGGCAAAGATCAACAAAACAACTTACAATGTTCAGTGGTGGTAAGGATGTGGAGAAAGGGGAACACTCATTCACTGATGCTGGCTGTACAAACTGGTTCTCCACTATGGAAAACAGTGTGGAAAATTCTCCAAAAGCTCAAAGTAAGTCTACCATGTGACTCAGCTGTACTTCTGTTTGGGGGAGAGAATCACTTAGGCTGCTGTAAAGTACAAATGACATCTCTCATATGAATGAATTTTAAGGACAACAAGTAATAATCAAGGTTTTAGGGGAAAAGGGTCTGAGATAAGTAAAACATAAATTCTGGGAGATGTGGGCAGAGCCTGGATCATCAGACAGACAGCAAAGATCACCAGGTTGTAAACTACATCCATTCCCAGCATTCCAGGAAGAAGAATGTCAATGTGTTTAACTTTCCTGACTTCTCCATTGCTTATCTGCGTGCACAAGGACCTTTTGCCCTCTACATACCACTCTTTAGCATGTGACCAAAGGACTCTCCATCCTACCCAACAGATGCTCACTCATCCATGTTCATTGCTGCTCTATGCACAATAGCTAGGAAATGGAAACAACCTAAACACATTTCAGCAGATGAATGGATAATAAAAATGTGGTGCATATACAACCATACAATACTATTCAGCTGTAAATAAAAATGATGTTTGCAGGTAAACACATGGAACTAGAAACTATTATATTGAGTAAGGTGGCCCACATCCAGAAAGACAAATGTCTCATGTTCTCTCATATTTATGGTATCTAGTTCTGAATATTCAGATGTGAGTACCTAACCTGAAATAACCTCAGAAACCAGGAAATCTATTTACTCAATGAAGATATTTCCCTTGGATTGATAATGATTTCCACACTGGTCATAGATAGCAAAAACCTCTCTTATGCAGGTTAGTTTAATGTCAACTTGACACAAGCTGGAGTCATTTAGAGGAAAAGAACATCAATTAAGAAAATATCCCCCACAGAATTTCCCTACAGGCAAACTTGAGGGACATTTTCTTGACTGACATTTATGTGGGAAGGCCCAGATCACTGAGTGCCACCCTGGGCTGTTTGTCCTGGTTGATATAAGAAAGTAGGCTGAGCAAACCATGGGGAGCAAAGCAGTAAGCAATGTTCTTCCAAGACCTCTGCTTCAGGTTCCTGCCTTGAGTTCCTGTCCTGACTTCCCTGGATGATGGACTACAAGCTGTAATATTGAAAAAACTCTCTGCTTCCTAAGTTGCTTTTGGTCATGATGTTTTATCACCACAATAGAAACCTAAATAAAACAGAAATTGGTACCAGGTCATGGAGTATTGCTGTGACAGATCTGGCCATGTTTGGAGAGCATTGTATAAGGACTTTGGAATTGGGGGGCTAGAAAAGTCACTGGGTTTTCAGAGCTTAATAAGCTATTGTGAGAACTTAGGAGATAATGCTGACAGTGGTGCAGAGGATAAAGGCTTGGCTTGTGGGGTTTCAGAGGAAAGTTTGAGTCACTTAAAAACTCCATTGGGATCAATCCATATTTTGAATTAAGCACCACTACAGTGAAACCTTTGCTTTATTGGAACAATTGGTGATGGTCAGTTCAGGCTGAGAAGTCAGCGGTGATTAAAAAAAAGACTGGCATGTTTTCTCAGGGCCAACACACAAACTGGTCCAGAGGGAGCCAAGTCTGTACCTTATGCTGGCAACCAAACTTAGTAATGTGTAAGAGTTCCCCAAGTGGTACTGGTTTTGAAGGCATGAAGAGATCATGAAGAGCTAAGGCTTGGCACTGTGAGAGACCAGGAAAATATGCAGCCTCAGTTAAAGTAGAAGCTCCAGCAACCAACAGTCATAACCATATGTGAGGCCCGTGAACCAAAGCAAGGACCAATATGGCAAGATATCCCCCATGGTGCAAAAGTGGCACTTAGTGGCAGCAACCAACAACCATCTACTGGCCTAGCCACTAGGAGGGAATTCGTGCTGATATTGTGATTATGGTAGACCCTAGAGGAGGGCCTATGATGCCATTTTCCTAAACCAAAATTATTTCTAAGCATATTCCAGATAATTATCCTTATTCCCACAGAGAAGTGTACCTCTCACACCTCATTAAAGAAGCTTGTTTAGCAACAGAGAATATTACGGAAGCCATAACTGGTTGAATGCATGCAGAGAATAACTGATTTTGGGGTCCCAACAACAACCGACACATTTGTAGCACAACCCTACATGAAAATCTTGGGAAACTTCACAGAAGAGGGTTCAGAAATACTGTTAAGAGTCAGGGGACTAGAACATCTGCTGTGAGATTGTGTCTTCCACATATGACAGGAGAGCTGCCCCCGTGAAATCTCAACAATATGGCTGCCTAAACAAGACCTGACCAGTTCTGACACCAGTTGGCATGGTGATAAAAATGGGAGAATAGGGTCACACCCCTAGGTGAAGAGCTATGGGCAATTAATGACTGCCGAGAGGGAGAATCAGTCAACCAAAGATGAGCCCCCTCGCTTGGTTACCCAGTACCAAGTGGTCAGCCCTAAAAACATACACATCAGCAATGCTAAATGAACCTAGCACATTGTATTTACATGTTTAGTCACTTATGCATTTAGCAATTATAATTAAGGAACAAAGAGGCCATGAATGTGGCAGGAAGTTGAGAGGGAGTGAGGGAATGACACAGGAGAGGTTGAAAGGGGGGAAAAGAAGAGAAGAATGATGTAAATACAGAGCATATATGAAGTTTAAATTTTATTTAAAAATAATAAAGTTTTAAATTAAAAAAAAGAGAGAAATCCAGGTCAATGGCTAAGCTCGGGTGAAAGGTCTCTAACATTCTCATAGTACCAGGCCCTAGAGAAATCCACAGATTTAATGATGGGGATGTTAGCCAGTGCACAGATGACCAGAGCTCTTCTTTGAGCTTTAGGAATGCATTGACCTATCTATCCATCCCTGTATCATTTAACTGAGTTTGGAATTTTGGAGTGAAAATGAAGAGACACAAGATGTGGGCCCAAATGGTATCCTTCTAGCACTGAAGATCTGACTGAGGAACATCCACCTGCCACAGGACAGGGAATGGGTCTCCTCTCTCTCCCTCCCTCCCTCCCCTCCTTCCTCCCTCCATCCCTCCCTCTCCCCTCTGCTCCTCCTCCATTCCCATATGCACACCCTTCATACCTATCCCACTAATTTCCAAAAAGTCATATCTAAGGCATTTAACTAGAAACTAAGCTGGGTCCCACAGCACCTGCTTGCCTAGCATTCCTCTGTCCCCAAATCTCCCGTTCAGGACCAACCAGTAAAACTATCAGATATAAGTTAGAGACGTTTACATTTTTTTAGATCCTAGAACCACTTCAGAGGCCAGAAGAGACTCCGAACAATTTTGGGGAGTGCTGAGGAGAATGACAGTCCCTGGGACAGGAGGGAAGAACAGTAAGCAGTAAGGGCAAAACCAACGGTTTCTTCCTTCCAGTTTTCCAACCCTTAGTAAAGGCAAGAGACTCAGAGAGGCCTGAGGTATGACAACTTTATTATTCTGTAGACATTGTCTATGGGCCCAGCCCCAGGCCAGAAGCTCAGCAGAAGCTCACTCCTTGTGGCTTTCTTTATGGGCTTCCACACCGATCTTTATCATCAACACAAGGAACTCCTCGAAGTTAACTGCGTTGTCCTGATTGATGTCCAACTCTTTGAACAAGGCTTCAGCATTCTTCTTCTGTCAAGAAGAGTGGGAGAGAAAGCCAGACTGTAAAGCTCTTAGAGAACACTAAGCAAAGGCTCTCTGTAGAAAGCAGCACAGAGGACCAGCCACCCCAGCATCACTAGAAAACCCAAGAATGCAGCACCTCCTCACCTGCATGTACTGAGGACACTCAGTTGTGACCAGTTTCTGCAAATCATCCCTGTAGAGGGCATGGTGATTCCCTTTCATCTCGGAATACCGGTGGTAGACGGTAACTATGTTTTCCAAGGCTGTCTCTAGTTCAGAAGGCATTGTAGCTAAAGATTTGCGCACCTGAAAGGAAGAGCCCCAAGGGATGGGTGCTGCAGTTACCAGTGGCAGAATGAAGACTGAGCAGATATTCACAAGGTTTGTGACCCAAGAAGTAGCTTTGGCCTGGCCTATATCACCCAGATTACAAAACCCTGAAAATGGCTCTCTCTCTCTCTGATGGGAAGGGCTAGGATGGAGCATTGGAGGAACTTCCGTACACGCATGCTTGCGCGCACACACACACACACACACACACACACACACACACACACACACGCACACACACAAATGTGGCAAACTCCACACACAACACTCTGTCTTCTACTAGACACTGCCAGAAGGCTGCACTCCTTTCTCATCCCCATTCTCCTTCATCCTCAAGCGTTTGATCTGTGCTGCAGACGAATCCAAGCTTCCTTGCCCTCTCAGAGAAGGCTACTCCATCCCCCAACCCTCCCCAAAGGAAGTCCACAGTGTGGGACAGACTCACACAGCTCTGCTTACCTGATGTCCCTGAGACGGAGCTGAGAGAAGGCATGTGAAGATAAAGTGTCAGCTGCTTTTATAGCGGAAAACTTGGCCAGTTGCCCGAAGCCTCAGGCTATGGAGACAGCACTCTTCCCTTCCAGGGTTGCCACAGCCTCTGTTTCCCAACCTGGCCCATGTGGCAATCACTGAGCACAGTAGGTATTTCTGAATCTGAAGAAGTGGAAGTGTTGGGGCAGGGAAAATATTTACCAGGCAGAGTGCCAAGCAGGAAGAACCAGGATGAGGCATGGCAGTCAGTCCTTTTCTGTGACCTTGGTACCCCATCCCTGTGTCCAGACAGACTCCCAGTCTTAGCCCTCCTCTCTGTTGCCATTTCTGATCCATCACCTTTGTGTTCAAACAGGTGCTGCTGTGAGAGTGTGGGTGCATAGAAGAGACAGCTTCTGCCAGGTTCTCCAAGTATCAAAGACCTCAGAAACTTTAACACTGGTCCGAGATTCTGGATTTCAGTAGTTTGGAGTACTGATGTGAGCTTGTCTGGATAGGTGGGTGGAGTCTTGTGGGGAAAGCTTCTTCCCAAAGGATGGACCAGTTCCTAACCTGCATGGCCCTTCATGATCATTCTGTTCTGGAAGCTAGGGATGTCCTGAGCCTTGGGATATAAGTGCTAGTCTTCTGTCTATCTACCCTGCAGCAGCCACTGAATCACTGTATGGTCACAGTAGAGAACCTTCCAACATTTCAGAATGGTTACTGTGCCTTGGACCTCAGGAGCCTGGGATGAAGAGAGGAGTCAACTCTAGGACGGTGAGGGGTAGAGTGTGTTTGGAGAGTCCATATGTGTCTCGTGCCCAAGGGAAGAAGGGGGACCAATTCTAGGAATTCATAGGAGCGATCCCCTAGCCCCAGGAAATGGCACTTGAATTAAGTGGCTATCAGGAAGGCAGTGCACTGAACCAGCCTGTGTACTGATGAGGAAGCTGCAGTCAAGAAAGGTGGAGGGAGTCACCCAATTTCCCAGAGCAGCTGTGTCAGAGTTTCGGAGTCCTAGCATGGTCTGACAAGAACAGGGAACTGACAAGAACAAGCTCCTCTCCTCTTTCCTTCCTCTAAGTTCTCAGATACCAAACCTGTGCCACACCAGTACCCAGGCCATCAGAGCTGTGACCGTTGGTGTTGCCTATCATCAGCTCAATGGGATTCAGAAAACCATGAAACCAAATCTCTGGGCATGTCTTCCAGGGATTGTCTAAATGTGATTAATTAAGGGAAGGAGAGCCCCCTTAAATGTGGGCAGTACTTCCCACAGGACATAGGAAGCGCTGAGTAAATGCAGCCTTGCTCTCTGCTTCCTGACGGAACACAGTGCAACAGCTGCCTCCTGCTCCTTCTGCCAAGCATTCCCTGTTCTGACAGACTATATGTTCTGAAATTGGAAGCCCAGATAAATGCTTCCTTAAGTTGCTTTTGCCTGGGTGGTGGTTGTTTTGTTGTTTTTGTTGTTGCTACAATAATGAACCAAGTAACAATTTCTTGGAGAAGTGAACAGATTAACCTCTCTCCTTCCAGTTTCCACTGTACAGAAGATTTCATTAAAGCCACTTCTTTTATAGCTCTGTGGCCCAGCTCTGTGACCCAGCTTGAGCCAGTTAATTACCCTCTGAGCCTTAGTTTCATCAATTAATGTATAGAGATTAAAAGCATAATATACCTTCAACCCATGAAAAGGGAGAGATTACTTGTATTTGTATGTCATGTGGGATTAATATTTAAAATAGTAGAACCCCAACCATTCAACATCGACAATAAAACCAGTCCCAAAAAAGGGAAGTGAAATGGGGGATTTAAGCAGACATTTCTCCATACTTTCTACAAACAGCCAATAAGCACATGAAAGGATGCCCAGCATCGTAAACCACTAGGGAAATGCAAGTTCAACTACAGGATCATCTCACATCTGTTAGGATACTGCCATACAAAACTAAATAAATAAGCAGCCAGGTGGGGTGGCATGTGCCTTTAATCCCAGTACTTGGGTGGCAGCTTTGTGAGTTCAAGGCCAGCCTGGTCTCCAGGCTCAAAGCTACAGAGAAGCTCTGTCTCAAAAAAGAAAGAAAGAGAGAGAGAGAGAGAGAGAGAGAGAGAGAGAGAGAGAGAAGAAAATCACAGGTGTTGCTACAGATGAAGAAAAATTGGATGCATGCTTCCTCTTGGCTTTTTATCTGAAATAGGATGGAGAAGCCCTTGTACCCTGTGACTGGAGTGTAAAATGTGAAACAGCAGTAGAAATATCGTCATTCCTTGGTCACCAAAGAATTACCTAAGAGCCATCAGTCCCACTTGTGAACGTATAGACAAAAGACTGGAAAGCATGGTCTCATAAAGACGCTCCTTCACTCAAACTCATATCAAAACCATCCAGGAGAGCCAAAGAGGAGAACCAACAGCCGTGTACATGGATGGATGGGTGAGTAAACAAGTGTGCTTCACATGCAGTGGAATATGGGCCTTGTAAAGGAAGGAAGCTCTGACATGTGATAGAACATGGATGGCCTGAAAGGAGACGTCATGTGGTTCCATTTGTCCAAGTGATTCCATACTCAGATTTGTAGAGCCAAAGTAGAACGAGCACTAGGAGGGAAGAGCAGGAACCAACAGTGGTCTAATGGGATGCACTGTCAGTGTTGCAAGAGGAAAAAGCTGTCCAATGCTGGGAATGTAGGTGCTTTACTGGAGTATACACCTGGAGAAGGGAAGGTGGCAAAATTACTGTCACATGTAATTGAGCACAATCATGTTTTGCAATTTTCAAATGCCTGCACCTATAAAATTTGCATCATACTCAGTCCTAAATGGGATGTCTTCAACCAAGCCTTCACCTCAGCTCATGATTGTCATTTCAGTCTCCGTGAGTCCTGCTTAGTTGATTCTGTGGGTCATGTTCTTCTGGTATCCTCCACTCTGGCGCCTTCCTCCTCCTCTTCCGCACAGATCCCCCAAGATCTGCCTAATGTTTGGCTGTGGGTCTCTGCATCTGCTCCCACCAGTTGCTGGAAGAAGCCTCTCTGATGACAACTGGACTGATCCTATGAATATAGCAGAATGTCCTTAGGAATAATTTCATTGACTTTTTTTTCTGGTCAGTTGTCTTTGGTTCTAACCTAGATCTCTGAGTCATCCAGCTTCTGGATCCTGGCCATCTGGTGATCTGGACAGTGTCAGGCCTAGGCTTCCTCTCATACTATGGGTCTCAGGTTAGACCAGTCATCAACTGGTCACTCCCACAATCTCTGAGCCACCATTACCCCAGCACATCTTGTGGGCAGAGCACATTGTGGGCCATAGATTTTGTGGCTGGGTTGATGTACCAATACCACCACTGGAAGCCTTGTCTGGTTACAGAAGATGGCCAGTTCAGGCTCAATTTCCTCCATTACTTGGAGTCCTTCCTAGAGTCACCCTCATAGGTTCTTGGAAGTTCCCACTGCACTAGGTTTCCATACCACTTCCTAAACGCCCCCAAATGCAGTTATCTCTCTCAGTACCCTCCCTCCGTTCATCTCTCCCCTACCTGATCCCTTCTGTGGGGGTTTTCACATCCCCACCCGCCTCCCGCTCCCCCACCCCCACCCACCCACAAAATCTAGGCGATTTCCCCTTCCAAGGGAGATCCATGCATCTCCCCCCCCAAGACCTCTCCTCTTTATCTAACTTCTCTTGTTCTGTGGATCTTGGTGTAATTATCCTTTACTAATATCCACTTATAAGTGAGTACATATCATATTTGTATTTCTGGGTCTGTGTTGCCTTGCTCAAGATGATTTTTTCCTAGTTCCATCCATTTGCCTACAAAGTTCATGATATCATTTTTTTCTAACAGCTGAGTAATACTCCATTATGTAAATATACCACATTTTCTTTTTTTATTTTTATTATGTATACAGTCTTCTGCCTGCATGTGCCCTGCATGCCAGCAGAGGGCACCAGATCTCAAGGTTGTGAGCCACCATGTGGTTGCCGGGAATTGAACTCAGGACCTCTAAAAGATCAGCCAGTGCTCTTAACCACTGAGCCATTCCTCCAGCCCCAATATACCACATTTTCTTTATCTATTCTTCAGTTGAGGGACATCTAGGCTGTTTCTGGCTTCTGGGTTTTATGAATAAAGCCACTGTGAACACAGTTGAGCAAGTGTCCTTGTGGTAGGCTGGAGTGTCCTATGGGTATATGCCCAGGAGTGGTATAGCTAGGTACAAGTCTTCACTCCCACCAGCAATGGAGGAGTGTTCCTCTTGCTCCACATCATCTGTGTTGTCGTTCTTAGCCACTCTGACAGGTGTAAGATGGAATCTCACACAAAGTTTGGAGAATAAGAAGGAGTTGTTGGGGGAAGGATCATGATCAAAAGATACTGTGTAAAAAATTAATTTAAAAAATCATAAATAAAAAATAAAGGATTTTTCCCCATGGAAACAAATACGAGATGAATATATGACTCATTGTTGCTATCCAGGCACAAACCTGGCCCTGCCCCTTGGGGACCTGGCACACATGTCAGGCAGCACCCTGGCTCTGTATGCAGGTACAGAGGTCCCTTTAAAAGACAAGCTCCCCCTACTTTCACTCCCTTCTTTCTGCCCTTTCTCTGAGGAAGCAGCCCTCTCTGTCTCTCTCTCTTTCTCTCTTCTCTCTCCCCTTCCGTTACTCCCTTACCTTCTACCAATAAACTTTCCATATAAGTCCTGCCTGATGGCATATTTGTCTCTCATCCACCATGGGGCTTCTCACCATATTCATAACACTCATGACTTCTTTTTTACTTTTTGAGAATTTCATCTATCTATACAATGTATTTTGATCATATTCCCTCCCTACTCCCCACTCCAACTCCTCCTATATCTTTTCCATGTCCCCCTCCCAACTCCATGTCCTCTTTTCTAAGAGTCCCTTAGGCCCTTAGCACTAAGGCCAATTGGTGCTGCTCACACACACATGAGTGTGGGGCCATCCTTGGAGACTGGTCACCTAGCAGAGTGTAACATTCTCTTCACTTTATTCTTTGGAAATGTCATACACATATACAATAAAATATCATAACTCTCCATTTTACCCCTCCACCTTTCCCCTACCTCAAAACACTCTCCCTCCAAACTTCATTTTATCTTCTATTTTTTTATTTTTTTTCATTTTATTAGTTATCTTCTATTTTTTAATAAGTCCGATCAGCAATGCATATGTGTGTAAGAGTGTGAGGTATGGAAAACCTACCAATGGCCACACCCTCAGAATGAAGCTACCAACTGCCAGTAGTTCTTTAGTAAAGGGTTGGGGTGGAAAGTTTCCCCTCTATCCATCCAGGAACATCAGCTGGCTTGATCTTGTGTGGGTCTTGTGGAGGTGACCACAGCTTCTGAGAGTTCATGAATGTGACATCCGCATCATGTCCAGAAGACAGCATTTCACAGATTGCTCCCTACCCTCCATGTCTTAGTGCTTCTATTTCATGTGATAAACACCATGTGATAAAGCAACTCGGCAAGTAAAGATTTTATTTCATCTTACAACTTGTAACTCATCATTCAGGAAATTAGGGCCAGAACTCAAGGCAGGAACCTAGAGGCAGGAATGGGTGCAGATACCATGGAGAAGTGCTGCTAACTGGCTTGCTCCCCTTGGCTTGCTCAGAGTGCTTTCTTATTCCACCCAAGACCACCTGCACAGGGATGGCACCCAGGGAGCTGGGCCTTCCCACATCAATCATCAATCAAGAAAATGATCCTCAAGTTTGCCCACAGGCCACTCAGTATTCTCACAACTGAGGTTCCCCCTTCCAAAATGACTTGAGCTTGTAAGTTGACATAAAGCTGACCTGTACGCTCTAGCTCTTCATTTTTTTTTCTGCCTTCTCTTTTTCAGTGTTGCCTGAGCATAGGTGAGGGGGGGGGGTTGGTAATAATAAGCACTCAAGCTTCTTATCCTCAGTTTTCTGACAGTTAAGCATCTCTGCATAGGCTGCTGCTCTCTGCAAAAGGAAGTTTCTCTGGGCACTACTGTTGCTGTAGCTGACCACTTTCTGACTGGATTTTAAAGCCTGCTCTACAGAAGGAATTTCATGCCTGGTATTGTAACCACAGTAAAAAGCCCTAGGGTAGAACTTGCTATTGTTATTGAATACTATTATTAATGCGAATCATGTTTCAATAAAAAAAACTTTACACACACACACACACACACACACACACACACACACACACACACACTCACAATTTGCTTTTTAGTGGCAAATGTGTCTAATTCCAAGACTCAGGAAGACTGAAACAGGAGGATTGCCATGAATTCAAGGCAAGTCTGGGCTGCATAATGAGATGCTATCTCAAAAAACCCAAACAGAGAGGAGGGGGGAAGGAGAGAGGGAGGGAGAGGAGAGGAGAGGAGAGGAGAGGAGAGGAGAGGAGAGG